GGCAGTGAGGACTCACACAGACAGGGGAATGGTAGGTACCAGAAGACAGAGAGCAAGGTCTTCCAAGGGACACTGGGGTGGAATGCTGGTTTGGAGCATAGACCTGGAGCCAAAACACTGCATCTGACTTGGGTTTTCGGGCTTTTTTTTTTTTTTTTTTTTTACATAGCAGCTGGATGTTGCCTAGAGTGAGTTACTAACCTGGGCCTCTCTGGACCCTCTGTTAAGCCGGGTGACAGCACCACCTCACTGAGGCTGAACTTGTACATGGAGCCTTTCCAGGTAAGAACCCTGGGTGGCTGCTCAAACGGGCAGGGAAGCAAAGAAGCAACAGTGCAGCTGGAGCGAGGAGCGCGGCACAACCTGCGTCCCCATGGGGAGTCAGTTCCGCACTCAGCAACCGAGCAGCCTCCGTTCGAAAAGTCTCCCGGGGGCCCAGGATCTTTTCAGAAATCTGTTTGCAAAAGACAGCTTCGGTGGTTAACCTCAGCTATCAGCGTGATGAGACCTGGAATTACCTGGGAGGTGGTCCTCTGGGCATGCTTGCAGGGACTGTCTTGATTGGGCTGAGAGGCAGGAAGCCTCACCCACTATGGGCAGCGCCATCCGCTAGGAAGGGATCTGAGACCATAATCATGGGAAGATGAGCTGAGCACAGGCACTCGTCCTTCTCTGCCTCCTGACTGCACAGGCCACAGGCTCCTGAAGCCACGAGTTCTGCCTCACAGAACTCATCTACAAGAGCATCTTTATGAATGCCACAGACGTTCAAAAAGGGAAGGGAAGGGACAGCGGGTCCCGCCCTGCAGGAGCACACCCATCACTAGGCTGGGAACAGAGTTGGTCCAAAGATGATCACTGGCAAAACCTTTATGCCATACTGAAATAGTGTTATTAATGACCACTCCAAAACAAGAGGCAGACCATTAATCCAGTGTTTCTTAGGGTAGTAAAGGAAAGGAAATTGTGAAAACTGTAAAAGAAATGTGGTGTCTATTATCAAAGGGCTAAATAAAACAAAACTCCATTTTCAGAAATATGAAGAAGCCACCTGGCAGACATTCCAATTCCTCCATGGTCAGCCCTTCTTGAAACCAGCATGCATGCTGAGTCCAGGACAGCCAAGGCTACACAGAGAAACCCTGTCAATAATAATAATAATAATAATAATAATATACTAGAAGAATCCAAACCTAGTTTCTTCCCCTCCACGTTTGGTCTTTGTTTAATACACTCACCAGGCCCCCTCACCCTAAAATTAAAGTTTTCCCAGCATAGAAAAGAAAGAAAATAGTAAAGTATGAGACAGCAAAACAAAGCCAGAATAATAAAATAAAATAAAGCCAGGTCACTTAACACAAACTGAAGGGACTGTTTGTTTTAGAGTTAAAAGTCTCCAGCCAGTCTCTTAGAGGCTAAGATCCAACCAATTCTAATTTCAGTAACCTCAAAAGAAATAAACACGGATCACGAATGTCTACTTTTCTAAAGAAATTAGCCTATCAATAAATCCCTGAAGAATGTACCCGCTTTGTTTCCCTGACACACAGGTTAAGGGGGCGCCTGCCTACCTCGTCCCACTTCTTTCATGTTTCTTCAGAACAGAGCTTCTCAGATGTTGTCAATTGTGCCTGCCCCTGCTCTGGGCCCACGGGTTTGTAGAACGCTTCTCACCACTGCCTCCAGGGGGCGCGCCCGAGCCACCACCTGCTGGTCTCACGTGCCTCGTAAGACTGCAGAAACTCCTCTATGATCTGTTAGTTTCCCGGGGCTCTGAGGCTAAAACCAGCCTGTGTGTTGGAAAGCCCTCCTTCCCTCCTGTCACCACCTGCCACCGAAGTAGGACTTCTGGAGCCCCAGGAACTCCCTACACTTTAGTGGCAACAGCCTTCAGTGGCAGGCGCAGCTCTTCCCCTACTTGGGCTCAGAGATCTGGCTTTTTAAATCTCCCTTCCTGTGACCCTCGCCCTCTAGGTGGTGGGATGATGGGGCATTTCCCCGCAACACAGATGTAAGAAGCATGACTTTAGCCCCGAGAACACCAATGACCACATGACTGCCCAGGCCACATGTTCAGTGCCTTTGGAGAACAGATGATTGAAGAGGATTCTGCTCCCTGACTAACCTGAGGCTCTGCTTTAACTACGTGGCTGTTTAAAAAGAAAAGAAAAAAAAAAGCCATTAACATTGAGAGCGGGAAAATGGCCACTCACTGAGAACTGGGCAAACGAACACCCTTCTACATCGGCTAAGAAATAGTGACAGGGAAATGCTGCAAAGGACATCCTCGCAGTCCTGCAGATGTTGGGAGGGGCAAGAGAGCCAAGAGAGAGGGGAGAGCCAAACTGCCACCCCTTCCCAGGGGTAGGCCCAGCTCTCCTTCAAATCCCACCCTACCCCACCCTGCAGGCTGCACAGACCCCTAAGAGCAGACTGGCATAGGACATAAAAAACGGTGTTTTGCTCCAAACTGAAGGAATGTAAGGAACATCCAAAGCAAGGAAGGGATCAAACTGAGGCTAGAGGAGAGAAAGAGAGAGAGAGAGAATATTTCATGTGACTCATTTTCACTTTGGGAACTGCCCATCCCAGCAGCTGGGGAACCCAACCCAACCTGAAACACCCAAGGAGAAATCATGTCTGGGGGGCTGAGGCTGAGGCTGGGAGGGGTGTGTGAAAGCTTCCCAGGGCTGCTGAGGACGCACGCGTGTGATGAGTGCGTAGGCAAACAGCCTGAGACAGTGCAGGCAAACAGGGCTTTGAGGGCCCACAAGTCAACACAGGCAGGGCTGGATGGCAGACAGCTGGCTCCCGAGAGGCCTGGGAAGGAGACAGAGCCGAGTCATCCATCAGTAGAAGGAAAAGGGGGAAACCGGAGGTGTCAGGGAATAGCAGACTTTGACAGCACACAGGAGCACAAAGGGCACCTGTCACGCCCACTCTCGCTCCAAACATCACTGTATTTATTGCTTCAAAAGCTGCTGGCTCCCTGGGCCAGGGAGATGGCTCAGCAGGAACTTGCTATCAACCCTGATGACCCAAGTTTGGTCCTTGAAATCCATGACAGAGAGAACAGACTCTCTGTCTGTCTGTCTCCCTTCTCCCTCCCCCACCCCAATAAAGAAATAAGTGTAAATTGTTTTCAGACTTGCCCCCTGACCTCAGTCAGTGATACCAGCTCTGCTCTGCAGCCTGTAACAGACCTAGCCCCACTGGAGCCAGAACTCTCATCTGCTTTACTCTGCTTTGGAGAGGGGTCAGGAAAGGCAGCTATAACTCCGAGTCCCACACTGGGGACTTCAAGGGAAACTGCTTTAGGCTCCAGCGCAGCTCTGCCCACATTTCCTTCATCTTACTTTTGGGTCCGCAGCTCTGTACTGAGAACCTGTGGAAGGGGAGGCCTCTGATACCTTTAGCCTGCCTTCAGCCAAATAGAAAATTCTCCTGGTGCAGCAAGCACCACGCCGGTTTTCCAGAGACGAGGCTAAGAAACAGCCTTCCACTGTGCAGAGTGAATGTGCTACCCAAGAAGAGAATGGCAAAACCGAGACACCATTTACAAAAGCAAAATCCCTCTGGAGGATGCTTGGGGATACAGGCAAGGTGGCATAGGTCAGGTCCAGAACAGACATCACCTGAATGATTTCTCAAAGACTTGAGAAGACAGAGGGTAGAAACAAGGCCCAGGCTTCCCCTGGCCCCTGCTACCCTTGCTTTAGTGGCTGAACTTAAAATGAAAACAAAGGATAATAAAAGATAATAAAGGCAGCAGAAGCCATTACTGAAAACAAGAGACACCAGCACAGTCCCAACAGCAGAAGGAAGCATGACACTCAAGGACTGGGCAGCCATTTCATTTCCACAGGGAGCTCAGTCCTTCACAGTGAAGCTTCCAGAAAGCTCAAGACTAAACTGAGAAGCCAGCAGTCAGCAACAGGTGAGGCAGCGTCCAAAGATGACAAAAGTAAAGTGAGGAGGGGCCCACGTTGCCTTTGCGGGGTTTTCCTTTCATTTTGGTGCTTCTTGAGTTCTGTCTTAAGCATAATACTCCTTTGACTCTGAGCATTACCACTTCCTTGACAGCCTGCCTACTATGCTTGCACATACAACTCTCTAGGCATCACCCCTCCCCCACCTTCAGGCTCAAACGTACAAATTGTTAAAACAAAGGTCCATTAAGGGAACCCAGGTTCAAAATGTCACAAACTAAGCTCTTATTTTCTGCCTTCCTGGGTCTGTCTGTATTTTGGAGCGACACATGATCCACCCAGTCACCAAAGGCACTTCATCTTCCCAAGGGTGCCTCCAAAACCCTAGCAAGGTATCTCTTCCCCCTCAGCAGAACCACTACACTGGTTCAAACCCTTATCTCTTAACCGGAATACTGCCTTAAGACCTAACCGTAACACAATCAAGCTCCATCAGTTGCCAGATCTTGACAACGCACGTCTGAACACAGCACCCCAAGTCTGCCGTGTCAGCTCCGTCCATACATGACTGTGGTGGTTTGAATGAGACGCGTTCCCCGTGGTCTCAGGTATTTGAACACTTGACCCTTGGATGGTGGTGGTGTTTGGGAGTTATGGAACGTTCAGAAAAACCTTGGTGGAAAAGGTGTGTCACTGGGGTGGGCTGACATTGCTTATAGGCTCACTCAATTCCGGTGTTCTCTCTGCTTTGTGTTTGAGGTGGAATGCTATAGGCAAAGCTTAGTGGGCCATGTGGTAAGATCCAGGACAACAGGAGTGCTGAGAGTAATGCAGACTGTGGGGGCCCAGCTCAAGAGGGGTTCAGAAGAAAACAAGGTCTCTATTAGCACCTGGTCTATCAACCATTTATGTAATACTTTGGCAAAAAAAAAAAAAAAAACCTGGCTGCCTTCTGCCTGTGCACTAAGAACTTGCCTGAGGCTAAGTTTAAATGTAATGAACTGATTCTTTAGTGGAATATTGTGCCTGTGGCATAGTTACTACCAATAACTTTTATGTAAATTTACAGTGGGGAAAAAAAAAAAAAGAGCAAGGGAGACAGAAAGAAATACAAAATGTACAGTTTGGAGAGAAAAAAAGCACTAGGCAATTTAATTGTATCTAAGGCATTGCTGAAAGAGAGGCTGAAGTTAATAAGGAGATTAGCACCATTAAGGGTCCACCCAGCTACGCTTCCCACGGGGAAAGGAGAAAGCCTAAGGAGCTGCTGCACCTAGAATGACCCTGCCCAGCACCTGTGCAATCCTGGACGCCACTGTCCCACTGTCCTAATCCCTTCCCTATGCTAGAAACCTGGAACCCATGCTATTTCATACCTTGTTGACTTTCTCTAGAATGCTCTTCTCTCCTTCGGGACCCTTCCTTTCAGACACAGGACACTCTACATATCTTTTTATTACAGTTGTTGACATCTGCTGGTTTCTAGCCACAGGGCTCATCCCATGACCCCTCCTCCTCAGAGACGAGATGAAGCAGGAAGGGTAAGCTGAGGAGAGTTGATGGAGGTTGGCCTCCGGTGGACTGGTTCCTGGGAAGGGGGTTCTAGAACACAGAAAAAGGCTAGGGAGTGACCGCCTTTGGTGGGAATGGCAAGATCTTCCACCCCCTTTTTCACATGCAGATAGAAAGGTTCGGTTTTCAAAGTTCTTAACAGCTGCCATCCGATCAACACTTCCCACAGCCATGAAATAACGGGGACATGATGGCAGTCTAAGGCCACATGTAGATATAAGACAGTCATCTTCCTTTAAAAAAAAAAAAAATCTAAGAAAGCCAAAGTTCTTGGCCAACGTTTTTAAACTCTAAGGAAAAACTCTGCAGGCCAAAGTGCTACAAGCAAGAAAGCCACTGTGTATGAGCCTCTCCAAGTTGGTCTGTCTGTGCGGGGGGGGGGCTGGTCTGAGAGACCACGCTGGGCAGCTTGGAACAAGCAGGCTCAAGCTGAAACAGTGCCATGAGCCTAGACTATAGAACCATTTTCAAGTCCTCTCGGCAGAGGCCAACGTGTCCATTCCTTCCCCTCAGGCATCAGGACTGGCGGTGAAGAGAATGGACCAGAAGAGGCTAAAAGGCAGGAGTGACTGGGCACCAGAGGAAAGTCCTATTTGATAAGACTTACGTGATCAGCCATGTGTAGTGAGAAACAGCATTGACCCAAGAAAAGGATTCCTGAGCCCACTTCCTAACCAAAGCATGCTATCTCGCTGCAAGACACGCCCGCCTCTGCTACCTGCCCCTCTCAGCCATATTACTCTAAAGATGGAGGCTCCTGCCATCACTTTGGTGGCAACTCGGCCTTACACAACGTGCTTCACCAATTCTGAGCACCCCAGATCCTTTCATCGGCAGGAACTCTCAACTTCTGTGCTTTTAATTTAAGAGAATTCATTAGTGATCACACTCTGAGAGCCTAGCCTAGTCACCCGCCTTCACGTCAGAAGACTCAGTGGACCACACAGCCCCTTGGACTCTGGGGACACGTGAGTCTTGATGAATTCTGCCTCCACTATTTTCAGATGTATGACCAATGCGGGTCACCCGACTTTCCCAGCCCTCGGTTCCCTACTCTGGGAAACAGGACTGTTTTGAGGATTGAAGGAGGAGATACTTAAGGCGCTTGGCACACGGGCTGCCAGAGAGCAGACATGCACTGGAGAGCGGTTTCCGCTCACTATAGATGCTGCAGTGGCCACCACTGCCCCGCTCGCCGCTGACCTGGCAGTGGGGCAGCCCAGGCGCTGGCTCTGAGTTTACATCTTCCCTCACCATCAAGTTCCGAGGTTTCCCTGTGGTTTGCCCCAACTGCAAACTACCAAGAACAAGAACCACTTTCCACAGGCAAGGCAGCGAAGGCACGGGAGAAACCGAAATCAGTGTGTGGGGCCACAGAGTCTAACCCCCTCTCACCCATCTGCCTCGGACACTGGCTACGCTCTTAGGCAACAGCAAATGTAAGGCCAGCTTAACCATTCTGTGGGGGTTTTAATGTGTGCGTGTTGGGGGAGGGGGAGTTGCAAACCAAATTACACTTCTTGAGAGGTCCCTCCAAACCTTAATTGTTCGTTGTTGTAATTCATTTAAAATGACCTGAATTTTACCAAAATAGCATCTCTAAGTATACATCAAGCTTAAAACACTTTAAAAGTTTCTTTCTAGCATGTTTTAGTAACATGGGCGGTGTGAGGACACATTATTGCTCTTCTGTCGGGGGGGGGGGGGGGGGGGCTGCCTACAACGCTTTCCCTCCGGTGTGGGTTCGGCGGTGGGCGCTGAAGTGGGAGCTGTTGCTGAAGCCTTTGCCGCACTCCGTGCACTTGTAGGGCTTCTCCCCCGTGTGAATCCTCTGGTGAATGATAAGGCTGGAGCTCTGATTGAAGCACTTCCCACACACTTTGCACTTGTACGGCTTTTCTCCCGTGTGGATCCGATGGTGAGTGATGAGGTTGGACCGGTCTCGGAAGAACTTGCCGCACTCGAGGCATTCGTAGGGCTTCTCCCCCGTGTGCACCCTCTGGTGGGTGACCAGCTTGGAGCGCTCGCTGAAGCACTTGCCGCAGTCCGCACACTTGTGTGTCTTCACGCCTCGGTGGGTCCGCTGGTGGTTGGACAGGCTGGAGCTCTTGCTGAAGCTCTTCCCACACTCGGCGCACTCGTACGGCTTCTCGCCTGTGTGGCTTCTTTGGTGGCTCATGAGGGCAGAGCTCTTGGAGAAGCACTGCCCACACTCAGGGCACTGACACGGCTTCTCCGCCGAGTCGCCGCGACGGCCTCCGGGCGAGCCCGCGCCCATGCTCACACCCGGAGGTTGGGTAGGCGTCTCCCATGTGGAATTTCTCCAGGGAACACTAGGAGACGGACTCTGGCCAACGTTCTCCACGAGCTCGTTATACTGCTCAGGAGTTCCTCCCGCGTGGCCCCGCTGATGCTTCCGTGGGTGTGGGCTCTGCATGAAGCTTTTCCCCCTCTCCCCACACTTGTGGGACTTTTCCCCTGCGTGCACTCTCTGGTGGGCGATGAGAGCAGAGTGGTCAACGAAGCTCTCCCCACACTCCAGGCAGCTGCGGGGCTTCTCCCCAGTGTGGGTTCTCTGGTGGGTATTGGGATTGGAAGAGTCACTAAAACCCTTTCCGTGGTCGGGACATTTGTGGGGTGCCTCCCCTGTGTGGGTCTGTTGGTGGGCAAAGAAGTGGAATTTCTGACTGAAGCCTTCCACGCGTGTGTCACATTTGTGGGGTTTCTCCATGAGGTACAGGCCTTGATGGTCAATGAGTTTTTCTAAGTCCTCCTCAGAGGAGTACTCTTCCCAGAGGACAGTACTTCTCCACTTGCCCTCATCCTCGTTCTCACGGTCCTCCCCCAAGGCATGAGGCTGCCCAACAGCTTCTGTGGTATATTCTGATAAGGCTCCAGGCCAATCCCCAAAAACATCCTGCTCTGAAATCTGGTCTTCATCCTCATGCTTCAGCTCAAAACCTGAGAGAAGAGACAGAACTGAGAGTTCTTTGTTTATTCACTGGTTAGCATTAACGTACCTATAGTCGTGTATTTTGTGACTTTGGCTAACACAGATTTGTACCTCATATCCCATTGCTTATAAATGTGACCAGCATGAAAGCTATCAAGTTTTTGTGTACACGAGTGCTTCTAACCCCTAAAAGCTGAGGAGCACGGTCTGGAATACAGTAACCCCACCCCAGCACCCATGAAGCCTGGCTCACCAACCCAGCCATTCCTCTGAAGTCTGTGTTCAATAATAAATAGCTCTCATCATCCTCCAGTACATTAAACAGACCCTGTGTCACTGTGGAATCAGTTCCACAGTTTCCCAGGTGTGTCCTGTCCCGGGAAGAGCAACATTGGCCACCTCGTGCAGGACAACACTAAATGAGGGATGACGGAATCTACACAATGCACGAAGTCTTTTCCTGTTTGATCTCGTTCATTCTTTTGGCTCAGAGACAAAGATAATATACCTGCTTCCTGAAGGGCTCTAGTAGGCCCAAGCATTGGCAGACATGGCTCTGGCAGGCCTTGCCCTTCTCCCTCATTCCCTCTGCCTTGCTAAAAACCGTTAGATTTCATTCCTAAAGCTATTTCCTAATTTGGCCACTTCCTCCCCCTGAGGCTGACTACCAAGGTCCAGCTATCAAAGTACTGAAGTCCAGCAATGAAAAGCCCCCTTTGGCTCACCTAATTAACATGCCCAATTAAAATTAAACACCTCATCCTAACTTGGAGCTCCCTCTTTTACTTTTATAAACTGCCATTTGCCTATGGGTCACGTCTGTCTCCTCTCTATCCAGAGGCAGTCCTTTTCCCCTCAGGAGCAAATATCCTTTTCTCCCTCATCCCTGTTCCTTTCCCCTTCTCCCTCATCCTCTGTCTCCTGTCTTTGTCTCTTATTCTCTGCCCTTTGATCCTCTGGGGCAAAGAACTCTCGTTTGCGCTGAGAACTTGGTCTTGGTGTGTCATGTGCCTGGTCCTTTTGGTTCCCCTCTTTGCACAAGGCCACCATCCAATGGCTCAGGCTCACCTGCACCTGGAGTTTGGGGATCTGGGGTCAGAGGTTTAATGGCATCTTCATCTTCCATCTCAGCCCAGCCTTCTTGGTCATCAGCCTCAGTACTGCTCTGCCCAGATCCAGGAAGACCTGTGGCATCTCCTACCATCTCCATGGCCCTGATCACATTCCGAGCCCTCATCAGGGAGTCCAGCTCCTCATAGAAGGGGCAGGTTCCTGGTGGATGGCTGCTCTTGGCTTTCCTGTAGCTTCGAAGAAGGTTTTTAAATCTGTAGCGGCACTGTTCCAGCGTCCGCAGGAAGCCCAGTGCACACAGCCGCTCCGCGATAGCCCGGTATACCTGGCTGTTTTGGTGGCAAGTGCGAAGCTTTTCGGAGAATGGCGACTCACTGAGAATTGCCAGAAAGGCCTTGGTCTCCTCGAAGCCCCAGTGCACACCTGCTGTCAGAAGTGAAGAGTTCAGATGTGGGAGACTTACCCAGGTCATTAGGACTGGGGTCACCTGTACTTCTAAATATCGAGAACACAGGGCTCAAAAACTGTCCAAGGACCTGGGAATATAAACTGGCTTCTCACAGATACATAGGAAAACCAGCCAAGGCATCCTCCCTCACCACCTCAAGAGACAGTCTCAAGGAAGGGGAGGAATAACTGTACCGTGACCTGCTCCCTTGGCTTAGGCTGACAAGCCACTGGCATCCATGAGATTCTCCCTGTATTCACTCAAAATACATCCCCTGTCTCAATTGTGAATTCTGCTTTCAGCACGTGGATTCTGAGAATCCCCAAGGATCAGATACAAATGGACCTATGACCAGGTGACACACCACAGCTTAGAATACCCCCTCCTCTCTGGGCCTGTGGAGGTAACCCACGGAGGCAGCTTGGGGTTGGGGTGGGGGCACATGAACACGAGGCAGGGCCTGGGCTCTGCTCCTGCCTGCCTGGCTCCAGAAGCTTCAGGCGGGCATCAGTGACGCTCCCTTTGTAAGGTTAGGTGCTTGGCACACAGGACTGTCAGGTCTACGCTCTCAGTTTCTCTACACTTCAGCATGCCACTCACTCTGACCCTAGACTTGCTACCTGTGAATTAACTGGCTGTTCTCACACACATTAAGAGGGACACAGCTATGAAAACAAAAGTTCACTCGGGTGCCACCTGGAAGCGTCATCAGTGACACACCTTGGAATCTCTCCCGGTCTAGCATCGCTTTGGAGTTATCTGCCCCTATAACTAAAAGACGTGGCCACCAGAGAAGAGAGCGTGAGTCAGAGGATGAAGAGTTGGCACCTTACTCTAGCGTCAGTGATCCGACTCCTAGTCTGAGCTCTAACCTTAGAAAGCAGCAGCCTGGTTGACATTTATCCAGTTAAATGCCATGTTCTTACCAATGCGGCTCTGGAGCAGGGCTGGGCCCCCTGAAATGCTGGACCCTTGAATAGATTCCTCAGTGGCCAGGCCAAAATCACTGCAGCCTTCTGTTGCTTCCACAGGCTCCCAGCTCCCTTCCTCTTGGTCATCCATCTCAGTGTCGCTGTCGCCCAGCCTGGGGAGCACCACACCCTCTTCTGGCCCACTCGTTCTTCTGATGGCTGTCCGAGCCCTCACCAGGGCCTCCAGCTCCTCATAGAAGGGGCAGGTCCCTGGGGGGTGACTGTTCTTGGCTTTCCGGTAATTGCGCAGAAGGTTTTTGACCCTGTAGCGACACTGCTCCAGAGTACGCAAGAAGCCCCGAGCCCTCAGCCGCTCTGCAATAGCCTGGTATACCTGGCGGTTCTGGTGACAAGTCCGAAGCTTTTCAGAGAATGGCGACTCACTTAAGATTGCCAGGAAAGTCTTGGTCTCCTCATAGCTCCAGTGAACACCTGACATCTTCATGTCCTCCCCATCCCACTGGCATTGTTCTTCCTGGGCTGATTTGTCTTGCTCACTGTCCAGGCTATCATCTGCAGTGCTCCCATTCCCACAGTTTGTAAGGCTCAGCCCCAAAGTCTCTGGTCCTCGCTCATGATGGGAGGTGACACTTGGCTTTGAAACTGGAACTCCTACGCAAAAGGAAGGACACACATAATTAGGCAGAAATGACCTACTGGATGATGTTTCTCTAAACTGTTCCTGAAACTCACATCCTTCTCTTCAAAGAGCTGATGAGAGAAATTCCCATGAGAGAAATGTCCCTGGAGAGAGGTGCCTAGAAGCGACAGGGCCCTCACTGAAAAGGAAAGTGACCTGCCGGCTCTTCATTTGCTGTTATGAAATATGTCATAGACACAGTGGCTACCATGGATCCACAGCTGACAAACACAGGACACCTCAAGCAACCCAATGAGACTCAACTCCACCGGAGGGAAGAAGGGGGGAAGGTGGTGGTTCTCTCTTGCTGGAAAATTTCTGACCTCCACTGACACTATCACTGTGAGATAAAACAAGACAAAACATGGAGCAAATCCTGACAGCAGGGGCAAGGAAAGAGAGAAGGGGAAGGGAAGGAGTGAGGGAGGAAGAGAAGTGGGAAGGCAGGGAGAGAGAGGAGGAGGAGAGAGGCAGAGAAGAAGGGAGGAAGAGAGGAAGGGAGAGAGGGAGAGAGAGAGAGTAAGTGCAGAGCCCTTAGGACAATGCTGAGCTAACATGTGGAGTGTCTGGGATACTTTGTCCTCTGGGCTCCTGACAATGTGAGGAGATACCATTTCTCAGCCTGTAGCTGGTCTACAAGACGAACTTCCCAGCAGTGCCTGGTCCTAACAAAGCAGAAAGCCCTTCCTTACAGTACATGTTTGAGGACAGCTAGATAAAGAGTTTGAATGTGAAGCCTTTTCAGGGTGCCCTAATTCAGCATTTCTCAACCCGTTCTTTTAAGCACCGCTGGGGTCCCACTATCCAGTGGGCAGTCCTCAAATTTCTGGCGTAAGCCTGTCATGAGCTGAACCTGTCACAGCCTTTTCTACTTCACCCCATTCCTGTGTCTACCCTCCCTCAGGGGAAGGGCACTTTAGCGTTGGCTTTCCCTATGGAGAGCCTTCACAGAGGTGTGCTGGTCACATGAGCTTTGAGCATCATGAAGCCTGTGCTCCTGACTTTTCTCCTAGCTTCACACATCAGTCTCATCAGCTCAGTTCACAGAAGTCTGCCCCCAAGAGGCAGTTCTCAATAGGTGCTGAATTTTTGAGACAGAGGGCTGCTGGGACTGATCTGGAACTATTATATATTCAAATGTTAATGCTTGGCCCCCATGCTCCTAATGAGCAAATTCTCACGTATCCAAAACGATGTGGTGTGAACAAACCTTCCCTCCCAACCTCTCCCTGATTGGCAAATAAAGTTGCCAGGGCAGAAGAGAGGTAGTCAGAGCCAAGGTTGGAGGGCTTTGGGCGGTGAAGAAAGACCATGAGAAGGCAAGAGGAAGGAGGAGAGAGGAGCAGGTCGCTGCTGGTTAGCACAAACTAAAAGCACGTGGCCAGGAAGAGCTCACTTTGAGGACTGGCATGATGGAGAGAAGCAGCCTAAATGGAAGACATGCACGAGTATTTATGGGAGCTTGGGCTGGGAAATAGACAAGACAGCTTAGACGGTTAATATCTGCCCAGCTCGAGTGCACACAGTAAGGCTGAGCAAGTCTAATAGGTTTCCATGTCTATTTACATAATAGCGGGCTAAGGAATAAATGCTGCCTTAATAAGTATATGAATCAATAATAAATACTGACAATCATTCATCCGAGGGCCTGGTCCAGTTCTGGGCCCAAGATGACTGCACCCAGGTCATGAGCCCCAGCAGAGGCCACTCTAGGAAGCAGCATGCAGCCTCGACTCCTACCCAGCAGACTCTCTGTAGGGGTGGCTACAAAGAGCCAGTCTTCTTCCCTTGAAAGTCCAGAGAGGGCAGAGGTTTGGTTCTGAGAAGTGGAAACTCCCCTCTGGGAACAGTGTACCGGAAATAAGCCAGCTGGGCCCTGGAGCAGAGCACACTTTCCTTACCCAGGCACACTCCGGTTCCACAATCATCTCCTGCAGGGTCCTCGCAGGGTTCCTCCTTGGCTTCTCTTCTGGGGCTCACGGTTTCCTGTGATACAACCAGAGAGGACTTTAAATATCACTGACATTTTAAAAGCAGCCTGGGACCCTGTCCAGATGTAAGAGAGATCAGGACAGTGCAGCAATGCCATGTGTGGGACATCACAGGCGGTGAGCACCAGCAGGCCCAGCAGGGCGAGGGCTCACACCCTATGCTCTATACCCCTTTGCTGAGGAGGCCATGGGTGGAAGGGGGTGCACAGCAAGAGGACAACAAGAGCAAGAGAAAACAGCAGTTTACCTGGGACTCGGCTGCCACCTCCCAATCTCCAGTGTTCTCTATCTTTGGATCAGTTGGGACTAGGGGTGTGAAGACAGCTGAAGAAGAGAATAACCCTGTGAGATGTAACTTTCAGTTCTCTAAAACCACTTCCTTCCCAAAGGTCATGCTGGGATCAAACCAAGGGTGTCCCATGCCCGGCCCACACTTGCCACTTCACCTTCCTTTCAAGGATGGGGCTCCTAAGCCGTTTTCAGTGATGCACCAAGTGTGAGGCGTCCGTCCCCACCCCGTGAGCAAGCACACATCCCACCACCACGCCGGGCAGCCCCTTTTGTATAACTCCAGCTCAGCATCAATGTCCACCAGACATCTATCCTGCCTTGTACCTTGAATTCTCTCCCTACCTCCCACCTCCCAAGCCTGACCCGTGGGAGGAACGCCTTCATTCTCTTATGTCCTCATATCCTTGGCACTCACCATTCTCTTTCAAGGACTGAGGTGGCATCTTGGAAAGGTCAGGGCATGTATCCTCCGCCCACAGTTTCCGGGGCTGTCCCTCAGGGCAGGGGGACCCTGGCTGCAGCTGGAACTTCCGATACTCCTCAGCTGCTTTGAAGGGCCTGGACTCTTCAGCACATAGCTCCAGTCCCTAGACACAAAGTCAGAGCTCCCAACCATCAGTTCCATAAGGTCCCTTGAGTAGGACAGGAATGGCATGCTGAGTGTGAACGTGTCCCACAGGTTAACAGACTCTCAAGACCCAAAGAGGGTTTCAAACACACTGGGAAGGCGACCAGACTGACCTTAATAAACAACAGCCTTTACACTACCAAATGAGTACTGTCCCGTTGAGCCCTGGGAGGCTAGTATTTCAAGCAGGTTCAAAATGTTCTTGGGTCACAGAAACAAATTACATAAAATTTTGTGCTATTACAAGTTATTACAAAAAATTGATAAGGCTGCTGGCCTCTTGAGTAGTTATAATCTACAGAGAAACTACATGACTAGACCTGATGACAATCCTTACGCTCCAGCTATTGCTATACCAAAGATTCAAATGGGTCGGAACTGTCAACACAGAAAAAAAGCAGATTCAAGTGACAATGAAGATACATGAAACGACCATGATCTCGTGTTTCTAAGTCCGGTCAGTAAGAAGCTCAGAAGTCACTGCTCCACCTCAGCAAGAATAAGGTAAACAAACAAAACACTCAAAGCTCTTAGATCCAGCAGAGCAGTGGGGCCACGCCACATAGGCCTGCCCTCAAGCTGGAGAAGAGAGGTAGCCACCAAAGTGGAAACCTCCTGCAGGGACCATGCGGGAAGGAAAGCCCGACAGCATGACTGACAACACGCTAAAGGCACAGTGCAGTCCAGCTGAGAGTCCGGCTCCAGGACACCCGGTCACTGAGAGCTTTCAAGTTTTACTTCCAAGATTTCTACCCTTTGTCTGTGGGGGACAGGGACAGGACCCACTGTGAAACACACCAGTATACTCAGTGAAAGGTGCCTATCTCTGAGGAAACCATTTTGCCAGAGCATAACCTAGTTCACATAAAGGAGCCACACAGATGGAAGCACCACCGGAAGCCTTTTCTGGAAGCCTGCCCCATGCAAGAGAGGATGACAACTGAGAAATACTAATGGATTTTAGAGTCCAGGGCACAAGCTAATCACAGAGCTACCGACTTGCCCCTAGACATACTCTGCCACTACATTACAAAAGACTCATTTACATAGCTCCTTCCACCCGAGACATCATGTGCCACCTTTTAAAAGAGGTGAGCAACAGTTTGAAGAGAATAAGTGTGAAAACCAGTACCAGATAGCAGGAAGCTGGTGTTAGCAAACCACGGAACTTAAAAATGGTAACCCAAGTGAAGAACTACTCACCTTCATTGTCAATGGTCTGGACACACTAACTAGCCGGTGACACTCATCTGCAATCCCAGCAGCTGGAAAGCTGAGGCAGGAGGATTGCAAGGTTGGGGCCAGGCTGGGTTACACTGTAAGACCTTGTCTCAAAGACAGGTAAATAATAAATAAGAAAACAAACAAATAAACCAGCAAACTGAACAGCCATGATTGTACAAAAATAAGACCCAACTATATGCTATACACAAGAAATCCACTTTAAATATAGAGATACCTTATAGATAAAAAGTAAAGGAGGAAGGCAGAGATTCCAATTTAACCCTAAGCAAAAGTGAGAGGGCTGAGGAGAGGCCTCGGTGGTTAAAATTCTTGACACACAAGCAGAGACCAGAGTTCAGGTCCCCGGAGTCCATGTCAATATGCACAGTAATCATGATGACCTATCTGTAATGCCAGCTTCAGAAGGCGAGACAGGAGATCCCAGGAGCAAGTCAGCTAGCAAGACTGGCCGTAGCTGTGATCCCTGGGTCTGACTGAGAGGCTCTGCTCAATGAATGAGGTAAAAGTGATGAAAGATGACTTCTGGCATCAAGTTCAAGCCTCCAAGTGTGCATGAGCACGCACACAGACACACACGTATAAGCACGCCCCGCATACATGCAAATATACATATACACAAATGCACAGCACACATATGCACATGAGGGGGGGAGAGAAAGTGAGAGGAGCTGTATTAATTTCAGAACAGCAGACCTCAGGGCAAGAGAAGTTCCGAGGGATAAATGGCTTTATGAAGTGATACAGGGGTCACTACTCGACAAAGGCATAGTGATCCTCAATTCATGTATTACGCAGACCTTAATCCCCCGCTCTTCTAATGACACAGTCCAAAGCTGACACAACCACAGGAGAAAAGGAGGACTACAGTCGGAGACATCGGCAGTGCTCTCGGAACAGACAAAACCAAAGACAGTTGAGCTGAGGAGTGTGTGGAGGGGTGTTAGATTCATTAGTGGGGCAAAACGGGAGAGGCAGCACTGACTTCTGTAAGGTGGAGCTTCTGTCAACAGAAGGCAAGCTCTGTCCTCCAGCTCTCGAGCATCGTTCAATGCCAAGGCAGGCCACATTCCAGGCCACAAAACACAGCAAGCCAATTTGAGAGGGCAGAATCATGACATGTGTGCTCTCAGATCACATGGAAGCAAATGAGAAAGACGGCTGGAAAATCCCAACATACTTGGGGTTCAAACAATATACAAGTAATTATTTGAGTGAAAGAGCAAATTCCAAGAGAAAGCTTTAGAGGTGACCTTCATTCACTTTGTATTAAGGTGTATCCCTTTGTATTTGTTAACTGCTGACCCAGACACTGAGCTAAATGCTAACAGATTCCGGTACTGTCATTATTATTGTACCTTCTGTCTCAGTGCTGTGTAAAAATTGTTCTCCATCATCTCTAATTGGTCAATAAAGAGCTGAACAGCCTAGAGTGGGCAGGAGAGTTGAGGCAGGATTTGCAATCCCAGTGGGGCAGGGAGTCCCAGGTGGAGCAGAGAGAGAAGGAGGTCACTGAACCTCAGGGAGGTGACCGTGGAGAGGTTGCCGTGAGAGAGTCTCACGGAAGACAAAGTCACGGGGAAAGGAAACCCAGAAAAGATGCCGTGACTTTATTTCTTTTCTCTGTTTTAGAAGTGTTCAGCCTTTGCTCAGATCTCAGGGTGTCGTCTGAAAACCTCCAGCCTGACTTCTCATTTCGCAGATGAAATATCAAAAAAGCCTTGATTTAAATCAGTGCACCTCTCAGGGCCTCACGTCCTCCACCTTCCAGCTCCAAAGTCCTGAGGTTTCATGGTTTCCTCTCTGGCACCTCAGGCAAACAGTTGGCTTCTTGAAAGAAATCACCCGGGGATGGAGTAGACTTTTAAAAGGCATGAGCTCAAGCTCTGCTCTCTGACTTGAAATGGTAGCTTTCTCCCGGTCGGTATGAAGCTTGCGAGCTTTCCCTCCCCCCTTGCCCTACTCTCACATCTGCACAGAGCTTTACAGTTAGCCGTGCCATTCACAACACAGGTCTTTTCAAACACAGAATCCTCTCAACCAAATGTGCTCAAGCATGAGGCCATGCTGTCTGTAACAGTGGAGAACTGAAAGGTTTTGAGGTGAATGTTCTGACAGGCTGCCCTGGCCTGAAGCCAACCACCCAACCACCGGAGCTGACTGCACAGGGCAGCTGCAAGCAGGGTCCAAATTCTGTGTCACAGAAAAGTTACATACTGTATCAGAGGCCCTCAGAGTGGCTTATAAACTGTTAAGACTCTGAATATTGACTCCAGAATGCCACGTGCCCTGTGGGCCCTACCACTCACAAATTCGGACGAGTTACTTACCTCGCTGTTAACTCACTTGCAAAAACAGCAAGAGGAGAACCTGCCTTGTCAGGCGGCAGGGGGTGCACATAAAAGGGTCGCAGACAAACCTGGTACATGGTGGGTGCTCACAGATTGCCAGTGAATGCCTTACCTGAGCCTCATACTCAGAGGTATTTGCATTCCACGTTTGCCGAGGAGGCAGGCATCAGTTCTGCAGTGGACATAGTATGAGCGTGAAACCCAAGGATCAGGGTCCAGGGTCTGGCTCACTCCCCGAGGAACCTCTGCAAACCATCTGATTCTTAGAGCCCTCATCTACAAACTGGGGACAGTGATACTATTTCTGTGTGTGTGCTGCTGCTATAAGCTTTGAAAGGAATCCAAGTATGTATGAGGACATGTTAAACATAACACAAAATGCAGATTAGGCATGAGTGGTACTAGGAGGCAGCTTCAATGATGGTTAGGCTTACAGCCTCCAGTTAGACTTTTCCAAATACAAATTTTGGCTCTACAATCCAGTAGCTAGTGATTTTGACCAAATTACCTCTTTTCTTTGCCTCCATTTCCTTACTGGTAAAACTAGGCTAACAGTACTGGCTTGCTGTATTAAACTGTGGTAGGATTAAATGAGCTAATACAAGCCAAGCAGTTAGAATGCCACCTGCTTCACAGCAGGAGTCAATAAAGAGCAGTTGCTCAATGATTACTATCATAGTGACTCGGGGACAATTATTAACTCAATTCCAGGCCCTCTACCTTGCTCAACCAGCATCTTGTGAAACGGACCTTCGGCCTCACCTGCTGCCCGGTAGCCCAGGCCTCTCGGTGCCAGTCCTCTACCAGGGCCACCGCCTCCTCCCCGCTCTCAGGGTGCCGTGCCTGAACCCAGGTCTGCACCTCCCTGGGTAAGATGGACAGGAACTGCTCCAGCACCAGCAGCTCCAGGATCTGCTCTTTGAGGCGGATCTCAGGCCTCAGCCAACGACAGCAGAGAGCCCAGAGCTGGCTGAAGGCCTCGTGGGGTCCTGCTGCATCCTGGTACTGGAACTGCCTGAAACACCGGCGGGAAACCTCAAGGCCAGGGACAGTGTCAGGGGCCTCCTCCTGGGGTTTGGAGTCGGTTTCCCACAAGTCCTCCTCCAGTTTCACAATGAAGAAGCCTTCGGGCTCTGGTGCTGGGGAGGCCACAGCCATCATCTGGCCTGAGTGCTTCCCTTCCACTGAGCTGTCCTCATCCAGAGGCTTTCTGCATTGACAATGTGTCCTTCAAGGGACTCCTGCGAGGGACTGCTCCCCAAGACTGTGAAGGCAAAGACAAGGGACACAGTGAGTGAGAGGGCCCAGAGCATCGCTTTCCTCACATACTCATACCTTCCACAACCTGTGACAGGCACAAACAGATTCAGAGACACTCCTTCGCAAAAGGCAGGAAGTGGGTCCGTGACCGGGCACCCAGCTCACTTCACAAAAAGAAAGCACCATGCTGCATACTTTGGGACACATCTAAATGTTTAATCCAAGAACCCTGGGCCTCTGCGCTTTGGCCCTAGTGTGGCCTTCTTTCCTTCTACACCATGCCCAAAAGCTAACCTGTACTCAAGCTGGGTTCTGAGGGTCCCCTCCTCCATGAGAACTGCCTTCTGATACTTGACACTTGGTGTTCCTCTACGGATGGTCATCTTGCAAAATCCCTCTCACTCTCTGGCCATCCCACACATCTGATATTATTCACCATCTTTAAACAGAAGTTTCTCAGAACTCCAGCCAAAGCTCTCTACAGACCTCATGACTCCATCGTTTCTACCTGACTATCCCTAGACACCTCGTATTTGATGCATCAAAACTGAATGCACCAGCAGGTACGATACCCACAATCCCAGCTATTGGGAGGCCGAAGCAGGAAGATCCTAAATTCAAGACTAGCCTGAGCTACAAGAGCAAAACTCTGTCTCAAAAACCGAAAATCCAAAAATAAGTAAGTAAATAATAAAACCCTGAGTGTCGCATCTTTTAATGGCAAGCCCCTCCATCTTTTGGAGCTCTCCATTCAGTGCAAGGTATCATTTTCATCATCCTTTCTCCTGGGTGTCACACCTTGCTCATCCTGATGACCTGTCCACCTGACTCTTACAGCCTCAGTGCCACAGAATCATCCCAAGTCTTCCTGAACATACTCTCCCAGTGCCGTACCAGGCCCTCTCAATCACCCTACCAAGCCCTAACCCACAGCCAACCCACAAAACGCCCGACTACCTGCTTCAGCTGCCCGGCCTGAAGCTCCTCCCCATTGCTCCCTGAACCCTCGACAGAGCCACCGCCAATCCTTTCTAGGTCTCTCCTCAAACTACACATTTCCCGAGGCCTTCCCGTTCCCTGAAACAGGACCTGTTTTCAGCCACCAGCTTCCGTGGCATCTGACGCTCTCCCCTGCAACCGTGATCACCCAACTGTGATTATCACTGTGACCACACCACACAGTGCTCCACACACGGGGAAACACAACAGTGACGCTGTGAATGGTGAACTCCTGAGGACGGGATCACACTCGGCAAAGGACAGTCGCTTTCCTGCCCATGTCCAAAGGGGTCCTTTCTGCCTGACTTCCACCGTTCCATGACACTGTCTTCTATAACACACTGTAGAGACACGTGAATGTTGGCACCCAAGGAGGGTACAGCCTCCCTGATGACACCCACACTGGGTTCTCTTAGAAAACAAGCTCTTCACGGCAAGTCTAATGACATAAAACACACCCAGCTGAAGGAGACCACTGGCTGTATCTAAGCTAGAATGGCACAGCAGAAGCCAGAGGGCAAGAGTAATGGCATTTTGTAATCTGGGCCATCTGACTGGGCTGTAGGGAAACAAGGCAAAGGTAACAGGAAAGTAGAGGCTGGCCATAAGATGTACATGTACTTGAGAAGATGCTTAGAGAACCACACGTGGCCACCGGGCGACTCCTGGCTCCTCCTGCTGCTGCCAAACCACTTGTCACTTCCTTCAGCAAGAGTTCCTTGGTGTGCCCTTGTCATGCTCCACCCCCATCCTGAGAACAGGAGTTCTCCAAACAGCTGATACACACCTCGGAGAAAAACTGTCCATCCATGCTTTGTAACCACCTGTCCCCTACACTGGACAATGGCACCACACTGTGTCGCGGTACCCAGCCTCAGAGATGATAAACAGTAGGGCCATTAATGAGTTTACTTGCCTGGTGTTAAATATATAAATCTGTTAAGTAAGAAGAATGTCCATGATTTACATTAAAGAGTTAACATTTCATAACTTTTTTATAAAACACGTCTTCCTGACGTGCTAACCCAAACACCTATCTGTTACTGTCACACACTCTGTGAATACAGGCATTCACAGAGCACCCATTATGTACCCTGCACTATACTGGGAGCTACAGAGCCAACAATAGCTGGGACAGACAGTCCCTTCGGCCTTCACGAAAGTTACAGTCTAGAGGCAGACAGTAAGTCGGCAAGCAAAGACTCCTATGCTTCTGCACACAGGGGACAGCCATCAGGCAACCAGCAGCCACCAGTCACAAAGCCAGAGCCTAGGACGTCTTCTGGGGGAGAGATCCCGAAAACCTCCAAGGTTCACTTCAAACAGATGTCAGAAACCCCTGGGGGAATCATATATCAATCTTCTCCATATGGAGTGCAGACACCGTGGGGGAAGGGAGGCCAACACGGTCAACCAGGAGCTGGGTGAGGGCATTCTCCAGGCCTGAGGCTGCCAGGAGCATACTCAGACCTCCAAGAGGGTGCCTTTTATTGGCACTAAGTACAGGGCTAAGCATTCTCCATCCATTTTGCATGGAGCCCTCCAGGCAAGGAGGCGGAGGGCCATTAGTTCAGAGCTGAATGTCACTGACCTGTAACACCCGCAACACACACAGACTAGCGAAAGAGCCCTATTTGACACTCAGTGGGTTCCATCCGTATCTGTTCCAAAGTGGGTCTGTGGTGTTGATCCCAATGTCTCTGCTACTCTCTGCCTGCTTTTAGTTTCTGGAGCCTTTCTTGACGCTGAATGCAAGTGGGGTGTCATTCCTACGACATTCTCCCAGACCAAAGTCAATTCTTCTGTCTCGTGTTCACACTAGAAAACCTGGCTGTGTTATTGAGCTCGTGCAAAGACAGAGTACTGACCGCAACAGCTCCTCACCAAAGGACTCCCACGCTGTAGTGAATAGGGAGAATGAGCTTCTGAAGGGTGGGGCAGAGGGAGATGGGGAGGAAATGGGGGAAGGGGGTGGGAGGGGAGTCTTGTGTTATAAAGCCATCAAGTGGCTGAGTTAGGACCTAGGCCTAGGTCAGTCTTCTCCCATCATTTTACTTAATCGCATCACATGACCTCAGACCTGCTAGGATTATGCTATGGGAGATGGAAAAGACTGTCAAGGAAAGAGAGAGAAGACAGACTCTAGGCCCACTTCTGCCTCTCAGCTGCTGGGTGACTGTGCAGGTCAGGCGGCCTCCTGCAGCTGGCTATCTGAGCCCTTGCCCCAGGCTAACTTGTTATAAAAGGGGTGGGGGCAGAATAAGCAGCCAGTGAAACTGTGAAAAGTAGATTGGGTAGGGGCTGTGACTAACCGTGATACCCTGAGGGGGATGCGGGCCCAGCATTTTCCCAGTTCTTCTGCCTTTGCAAGAGAAACTAGACCTCGGGAGTTTAAATGCTGACAACAACCAGAACTGTTGCGGATGCCACGAGGATTCAGTACGTCATGATGGCAGACTTTGCCCCACGTGGGCAGCCACTATGTCTCCTCTTAGCTAAATAAATCATGAAGGTACCTCCCAGTACTCAGAAAGAGGTGGGAGGGGCGCAGACTCTGCAGATGATGAGGGAGAGGTGCTCAGCCAAAATCAGGGCCACCAGAATTCATTGTATGAAATTCTCAGATTTAATTAAAAAACAAACAAACAAAAAAACCTTTTTTAAGAAAAAATTAGGCCCCCTTAACCATGGAGAAGCTGAGCAGGGCCTTGGCTCCTGAGGCACTGAAAGTGAATGTGGACATGAGCTCTCTTTCCCACCTGCTCCTGCAACAATAGAAAGACGGGAGAACATTCTCCCTGGGACCTGGGAAAAGACCAGATCAGTTGGTCACCTCCAAACAGGAAGAAACTGGGAGCTGCGGATGGTTGTCAGTTCTACTTGCTGACAGTACAAGCTGCGGCTTCAGGCAGGTGAGACGTAGGCTGGGGACAGCAGGTAGGCCCTGGGGGTTGGGGGGAACTATCTGGAGCAGTCTGCTGAGGAACGCCTTCCATGTGGTTACATGGCTGCAAGGAAGGCCTCAGTAAAAGCAAACGGCAGCACTCACCGCTATGTGTTGACCACCCCTGTCCTTAAACTCCCAGCAGCCTCAGCTTACAGTGGACATAAATGTCAGAAAAAAAGACCAAAGCTCATAGCCCTGGAAGCCCACAGCCACCTTCAAGCATGGTCTAACAAAGCTCGTCCTGATGGTCTCTAGTCCACATTCACCAAGCATCTACTCATTTGCTCAACCAACATTAGGTGTTTACTGTTCTGGGAAATGGAGGTGAGCTAGACACTCTCTGTCCTGCTAATGCTATCTAGTGGAAGAGGGGAAAAAAAAAGTCAGATAATTATATTAATCAAACATGGTATCAGTATGATTTAGAAGCTGGGAAGTTGGAGGTGACATTTTGCTTAAAGGAGTTCAACAGGGGTTACCTGTTGAGTTGGTTCCTGAGTGCTCCTTTGCACCAAGAATGGGGGATGGGCACAGCAGAGAGACAGGAGAGCAATAGTGGAGAACCAAAATGGTTCCAGGAAATGGGGAAAAGTTAGCGGAGGAAAGTGGGCTGCAAAGGGAGTCAGGAAGAGCCTATAATATCAGATTTCACTCAACACGTGCTGCACGCCAGGGATGGGTTCCAAGCTGGAGAAAGGAAGGTACAATCGGACTTGAGGGTTAAACAGATCACAGGTTTGTCAGTGCTGGATAAGTGAAAATGTGGACACTTCTGTAGAGACCCTCAGAAGACAGAGGTGATTTTAAGAGAGACTACAGACATGGCAAGATGTGAAATGCAGGAGGAATTGCTGGTGAAACAGGTGGGCCAGTCGACGGTAGATGGATCACGAGATAAGGATACCTTTCACTACCATCAGGAATGAGGAAAGAAGAACAGATTTGGGGCAAAACATAATAACCAGTCCCATCACAGATGACCATGAACTCTGGTGTGGAGAATGAAGCATTATTTTAAGGTCAAACTTCCAGCTCGGCCTCTCCACTTCTTAGCCAGAGCCCTGGACAACTCTCTCCCCAAGCCTGTCGGTGCTCTCCATACCCTATGGTGACTTCCCCCACGGCCAAAACGCAATCCTATCGCCTCACCTGCCGACCTCTGTAAGACCCGCCTCACTGCCCGCCCCTCCAACTCACTCTTCGTCCAAACCCCTCGGTGACCCTTGCCCATCTCCTGACGCTGAATCCTTTGCCCGCCCCTCGAGACACACACACACACACACACACACACACACACGCACACACACACGCACACACGCACACGCTGCTGCTTCCCCCACCCCCTCATCTTCCCAGGCCCACCCCAGGGTATCACCACCTCCTAAGCCTCCATCCCAGCGCCTGAGTCTGAGCTGTACCCCATCCGCCACCCAGACTCACCCACCGAGACACCCACTTCACAACAGGGCGGAAGTGCTCCCAGGTTCGTGCAGGGAATGCTGGGACGCGGAGTCCTGACGCCGTCAGCCCGGGCACCGGGTTTCCGAAACCACAACTCCCAAAAAGCATTGCGCGTGCACCGGCGGTCAACTCCCCGTATCGGCCGCCTCTCAGATGACGTCAACCGATGAGTGCGCCATCGTCTCACGAGCTCTGGCACCGGAACAAATCTGGCAGGGTCAACGCCTGGGAGCGTAGCCCCGGTACGGTTCTGACTCTTTCCATTGGTTCTGCGGTGACGGTACCGTCTAGTAGGTGGAGTCTGGAGTAGAAGTGGGTGGGGCCTGCTGCTGACTCGCCGATGCTCGTATTGAGATGGAGAGAGCAGGGAAAAGTAATGGGAAAGGAGAGAGGCTGACGACAGTGACCATCTGTTGGCAGGAGAGAGTTGTACAGTTATAACCACAATTTCCAATTCACGGGTTAGCTGATTGATTTGGAAGAGTTCTGTACCCAATTTCTTCACTTGTAAAATAAGAACGACAATAGCATCCGTGTCACAGGTTTCTGAGAGGCGTCAGTGAGACATTAAACCTAGAACTGTTAGGTCAGATCCAGTATCCAACAATGGATAGCAGCTCTTAGTCATTATTATGTAAATCAGTTTGTAAGAGCTTCCAACACCTCGTGGGTGTTGGAAATATGTTAATCCTTGTTGCCGAATAATCTTAATATAATATATGGTTGCTCTGTACCACTGTCCTGGCTAGTTTGATACCAACTGGGCACAAGCTAGAGTCATCAGACAGATGGGATCCTCAGTTGAGAAAATGCTTCCGAAAGATGGGCTGTGGGCAAGCCTGTGAGACCTTTTCTTAGTGATTGATAGGGGGAGAGAGGGGAGGAGTCAGCTGATTGTGGGTGGGGCCAACCCTCCGCTGGTGATCCTGGTTTCTATAACACAGCAGGCTGACCAAGCCAGTGAACTGTGTCCCTCCGTGGCCTCTGCCTCCAAGTTCCTGCCCAGTTTGAGTTCCTGTCCTGGCTCCCTTCAATGACAGACTGTGATGTGAAAGTGTGAGCCAAATAAAGTCTTCCTCCCCAAGTTGCTTTGGTCAGGGTGTTTTGTCATAGCAATAGTAACCCTAAGATAACATCTGCAAATACTCTTGGGGCAATCTAACAGGAAGCTGGAAATGTGGGTTTTGTAGTCGGGCATAGGTCCAAATCCCAAATCTGATACTCCTATCTGTATGTCTTTGAGAAAAAACAAACAAACAAACAAATAAACAAACCTCCATCCAGTTTGTCTTTGATTTTTTTTTTTTTTCAGCTGTAAAATTGAGGTGACAGAACAGAACCTACATCTCAGGGTGTCAATGCAGGGCGAATGCGCTGTTAAGTCACTAGCTGCAAAACCTCAAGCACAGCGCGAAAGCCTCTCCTGTGCACTCCTGTGCACGTGTGTTTGTGTGGTAGCTGCACCGGGCATGCAGGTGGGCATGCTTGTGGGGCCTGAAGTCTATATGCATGCCATTCATGGAGCGTTCTCCACCATGTTTCTTAGAGCTAGGGTCTCTCACGGAGCCTAGAGCCCAAAGATTCAGTGAGGTTAGCTATGAGCTCTGGGAATCTGCCTGTCTTTGCCTCCCCATCCCATTCCCCACTTCTGACGTTACACATGGCCCTGACACTCGGTACTTTTATATAGATGCTGGGGACCTGAGCTGAGACCCTTATTGGTCCTGTGGCAGGCACCTTATCAACTGAGCCTTCACTGTCCTCATCTGGGGGGGGGGGGGCGTGAATGATAATGGTGAAATCTTCCTTTGACGGTCGTTGAGAAAAAGTAGGTGAAGTGTGTGAAGAGCTTGTCTCCTTCCGGGTCCTCAAAAAGTTGAATGAGTATTGGCTGTAATTTTTATTGAGAGCTACGAAACTTGGGCAAATGGAAAGAAAGGGCTCTCCACATTAGCCAGTGTTACATTTAGGGGAATTTTACACTTTAGTTTTAATAACTTGCTTCGGATTCCTTAGCTAGAAACTACATTCTGACTTTTTTTTTTTTTCTTTTTCGAAACAGGGTTTCTTTTTGGGGTAGCCCTGCAAGTCCTGGAACTTGCTCTGTAGACCAGGCTGCCCTCCTCACAGAGATCTATCTGGCTGCCTCTGCCTCTCGAATTCTGGGATCAAAGGCATGTGCCACCACTGCCGGGCTTCTGACTTGCTTCTTAATATACCACATGATTTACTTTGTCTATGTAACGCATTGGTATTCACAGGTCACATTCAGTTGTCCCCGCAGCTCTTTGAGGTTGGTGTTCTTACCCCAATTTACAAAAAGGGCTGTGGGCTTAGAGATATAATTTATCCTGTTCAATATCACATACACAAAAGTACCTAGAATTTAAACCCCTAGAAGTTCCCTTGCTCTCTGCCTGACCTTTCATGAAGAAGAGACCACAGGTGAAACGAGGAGAGGACTTGGAGTAAACCCTGGAGCAGTGAGGAGGCCTGAGGAGGCAGAGTCGTTGAAGAGACGGTTGGGGTCTGGAGGTGGCAAGACAGCTTTGCAGGGTCCGGCGACACCCTCACATCAGATGGAAGTAGTGTACAGAAAGAAAAAGACACCATTAGGCCACAAGAGGGCGCCCCTCGCCCTAAATCCAGCCTGGAATTGTAAGGCATCTCTCAGCCTTTGTCTAAAACCTGGCATTTTATTACAGAAGTGGAAATCCCGGCCAGAACCAGCCAGGGTTCTGTCTAGCGTGGCAGCACTGGTACAGTAGCCTATTTTTTCAGCTGGCAGGATTATGCCCCAAGGATGAAGATGTCAATCTTCCTCTTTGCTCCAGGACCCCATCTCTGAACTTTAAGGATTCTGGGAGTAAAACACACTTCCAGAGCATGTTTCCAACATATGGATATTTGCTTATAAATGATATTTGCTTATACATTTAGCCTGTAGTAATATAAAACATCATTTTAATTTTTTTAAAGATTCTTGTGTGTGTGTGTGTGTGTGTGTGTGTGTGTGTGTGTGTGTGTTGGGGTGGGTATGTGCCAGTACCCTCCGAGGTCAGAAGGTGTCAGATCCCTGAAACTGGAATTATAGGTGGTCGTGAGCAACTGCCCCAAAGCGGCTTCGTGACTGCGAGTTCCGGGGCTCTTCAAGAACAGAATGGATTATTAACCACCGAATATGGATTATTAATCCAGACCTGAAATAAACTTCTGCCGGGCGTGGTGGCTCATACCTTTAATCCCAGCACTTGGGGAGGCAGAGGCAAGTGGATCGCTGTCAGTTCAAACACGTGTAATGAGTTGGTAAGTGTTTTCTTTCTTTCTTTCTTTCTTTCTTTCTTTCTTTCTTTCTTTCTTTCTTT